AAAAAAAAAAAAAAAAAGGATAAGCCAGATGGGCATGGCATGTTGCAAGAGTACTTGATAGCAGACTTCCCAAACAACTAATGTAAGGTGAACTTTCCAGAGGGACACGCTCATCTGGTGGGCAGAAAAAAAGCTTCACTCAAATCCATGGACCTTGATTCGCGGGAAACGCTTGCTATGGGTTGTACAAGCCGGCGAGGTAGACTCACTGTTGGTGCACATTCCTCAGAAAATTCGATTGTCCTATGTGCAGTAAGTTTTCCAGGCACAAACAGGACTGGCATGTCTGTCACCTGTGCACTCAACGTTTAATATAATATAGCCATGATCATCTTCGCATGCGAAGGAAGAACAACAACTTAATTACTAACTTGTATTTAGACAAATATTAAATAAAAGTGAACTTAATAATAAAATTATTTATAAAGAAAATTTCAGAAAACTAGATTCCGCAAGTTTTTATTGACATCACATTACTTTTTATCCAACTAATCTTCCAGCCGTGAAAGGCTCACAAAGGAAATGTGATTTTGTTTCAAGTGGAAAATATATTAGAATATGAATATGATAAAGCCTTTAATAAATTTTTAAAGACTAGTTCAAAAACTAAACATTAGAAAGTTCTCACGATCAAATTTTAGTCAAATTCCCTTTAGAAGGCACTATTTTGAGTTACAACATAGTGCTTTCAAAAATGAATTAGATGAAAATTTGATCTTGTGAAGTGAGCAAGATTATATTATATTTAAAAAATTAAAAAAAGTATTGGTATCGATGCCAAATGTTATACAATATCGCCAACTGCATTTCCCAAAAAATAAAAAAAATAGAAGTAGAGAATTCCAGAAAGAAACGCTATGGGTCAAATAATTGTATTATTTTAAAACCAAAGACAAAATAGAGATCTATACGGGATACCAAATTATACAAAGATGATTAATATAATTAATATAATATGCATTGGCGGCTTGCATATGGTACTAAAGAACTGAATGCAGCACCCACTATTTTCACTCAAGATTTAATAATAATAGCAAAATTCTAAAATGATTTTCTTTCTTTCTTTAATACTTGTACATTATATTTAATACTATGATAAATAATTCAATAAAGTCAATGGTCATCGTCATTCAATCAGGTTTGTGGGAAAACTACAAAATTGCTTGCATGGAACTGTGTAGTTCGTAGTTCCAGTGACGCGGTGTTTGGTTGTTCCACGCATGCGCACATGTTCCTGGGAAGAAACAAGCCCCATTATTTCACAGTAGAGAGAAGCGATGTTGATCACGCAGTTCCTTTGCACCAATGTGTAGCCTTTAAATTGTGGTTTATCACACTTAGATTATATGAATCTGATAAACAGTAGATGATAATCGTAGTATTATAGTTTAATACACATTCATACTTACAGGGGCGTCTTACACCCCCCCCGCACGCCCGAATGGTGATTATTCAAAGAATTAATTTTAGTAGACCTAAAACTAAAATTAAATCAACAATTTTGTTTCGTTTTAAAATTTTAATTCTTTGATTATTCGAGAGGTCGGCTTCGATGTGCCGTTTTATACTAGAAGGTTGGAGTTCAATTCCCTGCCTAAGACTTTTTTTTTCCCCCTCCTAACCAAAAAAATCTACAAATATAAACCCCACCTCCTTGTATAGCATATCATTATCATACATATACATACATTTTTATATTATAATATATATGTACACACATGACTCAAATTCAAATTTCATATATTAACTAATTAAATAAATATGTAATATATACACTATCACACATGCATATACCAAACATACTTACACCTCAATATATTTATATATATATATTTTTTTTTTCTCGGCATCCCCTGTCACAATGTAACAATGGTGTAGACTTCGCAGGAAGAAATCACAGGGCCTGGGATTTCTATTTTAGGTGGATTAGCAAATCCCTAGCCATCAAATGATCCTCTCTTATTGCATCTGGATAACCCAAGGGAACATCATGTGTGGATGATACAGCTTCGCACCAGTGGCGTCGCAAGAGTTGCCAGAAATTTCATTGTGTCAATGTCATATTGCCTACCATACTCAATCTCCGAGTTTGAATTCAGAATTTTCCTTCTCTTAGTTGAGTTGCCATACAAGGTTAATGGGTCCCACCATCTCGGAGTGCTGGTTAAATTTTTTTCTAGTCTAGGTGTTTGCTGGGGATTGACCACAAGCTTGGGATTGACTCAGTTGAGACTGCTCGTCCACCTAATAAAAACATATATATATATATGTTTTTTTTTTAAAAAAACTTAATTTTGTAGCAAAATTACAAAAAATTAACCATGGCCTCCTTGCTTTCTCATGAAACAAGTTCTTCGACAGTTAGTGACCTTCAACAGCTCAATTTTTCACAATTGTCTCTCCTTGAGAAAGTTGCAACTAAGACAAGAGGCCGTCCTTTGCCTGATATTCAAATATCTCAGCCAGGAATAAGTAATAACAAGAGGTATATTCGTAGCTTTAATTCTGAATGGTATCAACGAAAAATTTGGCTCTGTGGCTGTGAAGTAAGAAATGCATTGTTTTGCTTCCCATGTTTGCTGTTTGGAGGAGATGTAATGTGGACAAAAGACGGCTTTAGAAATATAAACAAAATGAAAGAAAAAACTGAAAAACACGAGAAGTCAAAGAAGCATATCGAAAATGTAGTTTCACTGTCACTTTTAGGAAGCGTAAATATTAAAGAGAAACTTAGTGAGGCCTACAGGCTTTCAATCATTGAGCATAACATGAAGGTTACCAAGAACCGTGAAATTTTATCCAAGATAATAGACTGCATTTTATTCTGTGGAAACTTTGATATTGAAATTCCCTTACGTGGATATGATGAAAAAGATGATTCAATAAATCCAGGCATATTTAGAGGATTAGTAAATTTTGCATCTAAATTAGATTCAGATTTGAAGAATCATTTAGAAACCAGCACAGTCTTCAAAGGTGTTTCTAAGACTATTCAGAATGAGCTACTTGACAGCCTGCTACAAATATACTATGAGGAGATAAAGAAAGAAGTTAGAGAAGCTTCGTTCGTGGCTGTCATGGCTGATGACACGACAGATGTTTCGGAACACACTCAGTCGGTCATTGTTCTAAGGTATGTGCATAATGAAGAAATATTTGAGCGTTTTTGGGGATTCTTTATTTCAGAAAATCAAACTGAAGACGCAATATCAAAAAGTATTCTAGAACAATTGGACATAATCCTTCAAGGGAATAGACAAAAACTGATAGCTCAGACATTTGATGGTGCCAATGTCATGAAAGGCAAAAAAGGAGGAGTACAGGCAAAAATAAAGGCAGTTTATAGTAATGCACATTTCATTCACTGTTATGCACATCAACTGAATCTGATAATGAGAAATGCAGCAAGTGTTACAAAAAACTCAAGAATATTTTTCTCTAACATTATGGCTATTCCGACATTCTTCTCAAGATCACCACAACGTGTATCCATTCTCCAGAAGCATATGAATATGAACGTCAGCATTCCATGTCCATCTTCTACAAGGTGGAACCTTGATATACAGGGCGTGAACAAAGTTTATGAAAATCTGCAAGCCTTAAAAAGCAGCCTTACTGAAATCCAGTCAACATCAAATGCAGATCACACCATTTCAGAAGCAACTGGAATTTTACAATACATGGATAATGATAAATTCATGTTTTGGCTGGAGCTTTTCCATCAGATTATGACTCATGTTGAAGTAGTTTACAACCAAATGCAATCTCATGAAATTGATGTGTTCAAAGCAGATGAATATGTAAAAAATTTCAAAATTGCTATTTTAGAAATAAGAAACTCCAAGTACTGTGAGAATCCCTCAGAGACACTCATGGCAGAAGCAAAGGAAGTATGTGACTGCATAAGTGTTGATATAGCTGACAGATATTCTTTCACTAAACAGTTAATAGCTGCTAAATTGTTCAACAAGAAAAGCTTCACTAGTTTTAAGAATAAACTGCCTATAGAAGAGATACGACTGACTACTGAAGCATATCCCATGGTTGACAAAGAAAAACTTGAAACTGAACTGAGAGTATTCTACGGTAGATCTGACATGCATGAATATTGCAAATTAATTGACCTGCTGAAATTTATATCAGAAAGTAATTTAGACGGTGTTCTTAGCGAAACTACGAAACTGATAAAAATCCTCCTCACCATTCCCATGACTACAACAGAGTCTGAATGCTGCTTTTGGACATTGAAAACAATAAAAACTTTCTTGAGGAGCACCATGAATCAAGAAAGGCTGAATGCACTTGCAATGATTTCAACTGAGAAAAATTTCCTCACTAGTCATCCAGAAATCAAGGAGAAAGTTATTGACTTTTTCTCTCAAAATAAAACAAGAAGAATGGATTTCATTTTTAAATGAATTGATCAAGCTGGATTGGAACAATTTATAAGTAAGTTAAAAATAAAATGATTTTTTCTGGCTTTTATCATTGATTTATAATTTATGTACCCAGTGCACATTTTCTTTCTCTGTGTGTGTATGTATTTCATTTTGCAGAATATTAAAACAATGCCTGAAATTGTAAGAAGTCAAATATATAGAATCTAATTATTTATTTGCAGATTACAATTTGATTAAATTTAAATTTCTACAGCTATACTTTGAGGTATGACAACAATATGATCATTCATATTACAACAATCTGACTAATGACTATTCCAGTGCTCCTCAAATTTTTCTGTGTGACCGACGGACAGGAATATATGTCAAAGTTAAAGATTGACGACTGAAGTACGAAATAGTAGCCAATTTATAGATTATTCTTATTTTCCAATCTTAAATCTCTCAGGACATACTGTTAAGGAGCTTGGATTTGATGACTAGTAAGTCTGCAAATCCGTGGACCATGGAAGGTTAAGGGCCATCCATGTAATTCAAATTTCTGTGACAAACCCCGTATGTAAAAATACAAATTTCCCCACCCAATCCCCCCAGCAACTGTTTTAATTTATATATAGAGAATTTTGAAGTACACGGCAATGCAACAAAGTCACTCTAACATGAAAAATGTTTAAAGTTGTCAAAATGCTAAACATTACCCTTGCAATATCTAGCGAGTTCATTTGCCACGATTTGTGAAAACACGAAGAAACAGTTTGACGATAATTATGAAACTTTGCTGCTATGTTTTAAAATTTTTTAGTCTTCCAAAACAACTTCCAATATCATAGATTTCTATGATTTTTAGATGACAGTGGGCTTTATAAGAAATAACAATAAATAAAAAGGCTTTATGTGGATAGTAAAAATTTCAGGATAATTGTGGCGTAAAATTGTCTATTAGCTATTGTTCTATACTCATACATTGATTATCAGAAAACTTCATGATAATTATTGCAGAATTTGTGAAAGAAATATTAATCACCTACAGTTAAAACACCAACACAAGAAAAGAGGACAAGTCAGTAACTCAAAACTTCTTGCCATTGGTAAGACTTTGGTGGCAAATAAAATAATCTTGCAAAGAACTAAAACCTTTCTTTGTAATAATTTAAGTTTTTAACAGCAATAAATAAAAATATGTTACTTGTATAATTTAAAAAATACATACGACCATCACATTCATAAATTTAATATCTTTAGTTTTTGATAACACATTAGGGATTGGTGCACATATTATTATGTACCGTAACACGAAGGGAGTAGTTTGTGGCTTATGATTTTGTTATACCGGTATTGTGGTTTGTGGGGGGTGTGTTATATAACAATTTGTTTTTATTCCTATTTTTACACAATTTTTGCTTTTCAAATTTAAAAATTGGCCTAGATTAATTAATAACTTAACTAAAATGTATTATATGCGTACAACAATTAGAAAATTTCTGTATAAAAATAATTTCTGACTTTTTACTCGAAATTTGCTTGTTTTTGCTTGTTTCTGGACTTCATTCATCTTTTTTTTTGACTGGCAAACATTTGGTAACAGAAACAGTCATTTAATAAAAATACTAAAATCACATTTTTGTAGTAAAAATGTTTCATAATTATGGGGGGTTGGTTGCTAGAAATTTTATATTACATTTGAGGGGGTTGGGGGGGGGCACAGGTCAATGTTACAAAGAGTAGCGGATGGGTAAAAAAAAGTCATATTTTTGTGTTACATAACATCTACACGGCCCCTTACTGTCATTACAAAGAAAAGTTCAGAAATGTTTAACAGAACTAATCATTTATATTTAAAAATCATTTATTTACATTGATTGAATTTTAGTTACTCTTACACAGCACAATTTTTTTAATAACGAAAAGTATTCACAATATATTTTAAACACAATATTTATTTGTACGTTACATCTAACAAAAACATAGGTATGTGGTCATAGCAGTTTCGTTAACACCTGTTTTTAATTTTAAAGTGGTCCTATATTGGAACAGTTAACACAATCAAAATAGTCTTCTCAGTTTGCCTAGATAAAATATGATGACTTCTTGCAAAGAAATTGAAGCAAAAAATGAAAACATCTGGTAGGGAAAAAAATGCTGGATGGAAATTTTTTCTCATGAAAAGTTACTTAAAGTGATCAAAGAGAGATGCTTAAAATGAATAACTTTAACATCATTTGATGTCACCATTGTTTGGTATGCCATCATTACCATTGTTGGGCTCAGATTCCTCCCCTTGTTTAACTAGCTGTTGCCTCCACATTTCAGCATAGACACCATCTGCATCTAAAAGCTCTTGGTGCCTAAGGAGATAAGATTTTAAAACAATTTAATCAGAAAGAGACTGAGAAAGGTAAAAAATAAGAAGGGTGAAAACCATTGGGGTGTGTGTGTGTTTGGTTTTCACACTAAGGATTAAAAAAAGCTATTGATATATTAGCATGCCTACTACATGATACTTACGTCCCCATTTCTTGAATCTCTCCCTCGCTTAACACTATAATCTGGTGGGCATGGATGATGGTAGACAAACGGTGGGCCACTATAATTGTGGTCCTGTTCTCGCATACTCTGGCCAGAGATGACTGGATACTGCGTTCAGTTTTTGTGTCTAGAGCTGAAGTAGCCTGAAATTTTAAGTGATATATATTAAGTGAAATGCTCTGTCTTGTTGCATGCACTCTAGCCCAGGGATCTAGAGGTTCAAGTGCTCAGAATGCAAAAAAAAATTTATTAAAATAAGACAATCTGAAATAAGAATTGATTTACAGAAAAGGTCAATTTACACAAAAGATCAATAATTATATCGGATGATATGATAATAGATATACCATTTGGTTAAAAACAATGTTCCCTTTGGTCCCATCTTAAAAGCAACTCCTCTATGACTTAAATTTTTAATTAATAGAAAATGTTTAATTGTTCTTTGAAACTTTCAAAATCTGGGAAAACAAGATGGCACCATTGATTAAAAAAAAATATCTTCAATGCTCTGTAAAAAAAAATGTTTAAGATTAACAATAATAATTTTGTTAAACTCAGATGAAATAGATGACCCCATACTTTGCTGAGGAGTTTCCCATTTGCATAAAATTTATCCTTAACGACTCGTACCTCATCCAATAATACAACGGCAGGTGCTTTGAGCAGTGTCCTAGCAATAGCCACACGTTGTTTCTCTCCACCACTTAACTTCAGCCCACGCTCTCCTACCACAGTTTCATATTCTGAGGAAAGACGTCATATTGATAATGAATAGTTTGTTTGTTTTGTGAGCATGATTTTTTTTTTTGTGTGGTTGTTTAGGTGTCGAATTTTAGTTTAGGAACCTTTGTTGCTGAGTGTGTGTTTTTTTTTTTTTTTTTTGTGTGTATTTTTGGTGGGATCTGTTCATTGTTTTGGGAGTAACGATCAGAGTTTGTAGTGACAGTTTGAAAGGAAGCAGTAGCTTTGCGTGAGCAGTCAGAGTGGTTTAATTTTTCTAATCAAGAAAATATGTTTACAATATTTCATACCAAAATGTTAATTGAAAGTAATGCACCATACATTTTTTTTCTATATATAAAGAATTTAGATTGCAAAAATGGCATAGGAGGTGATACAAAAATCATACAAAATTGTGAAATTTTATTTCACTTAATTCTCAAGTAACCAATACTGGTACTAATTACTATCACTTATTCTTATAAATTACAACTTTAAAAAATGTTTCTTATTCAATGGCAGTACCAGTATCCGGTATTACATTTGGGAGTTATGTTCCGTAAAATTAATAGAAAGGATTACAAACTATTTTGACTTACTTTTTGGAAAAGTTAAAATCCTGTCATGAATCTCTGCTGCTTTAGCTGCTTCCTCTACCTCCTGGTCACTTGCACCAATCTTACCATAGCGGATGTTATATCTAAGGATGGTTAACAATGAGACACTCAGGAATTTTCTTGAAATTAAAAATTAATTTGCTCACATTCTTTCATTAGTTTATCAACTTGTAACAATTCAATAGTTAACCTTAGGATTTTGGACGTCAGTATTAATTCATTGTTTGATACTGTTCAATGGCCCAGGTGTGGACTCAATTGCTATCTTGTAAGTTTCAGATATCATTTACTTAAATTACTTGTACATCTAATGTTTCACTAAAATTATAAACATCATCGTTTCCTCTATTCCCCAAGATGACTAAGGTTATATGGACATGCTACACAAGTCTAGTGTAAAGGGGAGGATTGAGAGTGCAGTCTTCCAAGTATACAAACCTGATGTCACTATTGAAGAGAACTGTATCTTGTGGAACAACTCCAATGCTTTTACGAACAGATTTCTGGGTAACCTGGAGATGACACAAGGCATTGGGTGAACTCGGTGTATATTGCTAATGACACATTACTAGAGACCATTCCACAGGGCTTCAAAGATGCATCTATTGTTCATCTGTACAAGCATAAAGGGAACCGTCAATCATGTGACAACCACCGTGGCATATCACTGCTCTCAATTGCAGGCAAGCCAGAATCTTGCTAAATCGTCTCAACAGGCATTTTGAGAAGGGTCTACTGCCAGACAGTCATTGTGGCTTCGGGAAGGAATGAGGAACCATCATTTTGGTGTTTGCGGCCAGACAGCTACAGGAAAATGCAGGGAACAAAATGTTGACCTCCTCTCTACCTTTGTAGACCTGACCATAGCTTTCGACATTGTCCATAGCTTTGGACACTCAGTAGAGAGGGCCTTTGGAAGATCATGGCCAAATATGGATGCCCCAGGAAGTTCATGTCAATGGTACGACTATTCCATAATGGTATGCAGACTAGAGTTCGGGATAATGGAGAGACATCCAAACCATTCACTGTAACAAACGATGTGAAACAAGGCTGTGTACTTGCCCCAACACTTTTCAGCCTCATGTTTTCCGCAATGCTGACCAATGCCTTCGCTGGAATTGGCCTCAGATACCGAACTGATTCAACCCCAAG